AATATAACTACCAATATCTTAATGTATCCTTGACTACTCGACCTTTTATTAAATCGTTAGTCAGTGATCATAACTACTATAATAAATTCAAATGTAGCTATATACTTAAATTATTAAAATAAAAGTCAGTTTTGTATGATTTTCTTCATTACTCAGGAAATTATAATAATCAATTCAATAAAAATTGAATAACGTACATTATTTGTGATTAAAAAGAATATCGATGGTGCTAAACTACTTCTGAATTAAAACTGAGTTACTATGATATTAGGTATTATCTGAATTTATTTTAAACTTTTATATTAGTTATTTGATATTGTGATTGAGTTAATGGCAATAATTTATCTTAATGGATGTCAAAAACATTAATTGTATACCTGTTTAAAATATAATTTCCTTTTAATAAAATTTGGACTGCTTGAAATTTATTAAATATACTATGTACTCTAAAGAACAAATCGAACGTAGCTTAAAAAAATTTAACGAATAAAAAAAGTGTAAAAAAAATAGTGCGATCGCTCACGACTATGTTATATAGGTTCAAAAAACAAAATTCTAAACCAAAAAATAACGGTGTGTAAATGTTTTTTTTTTACATAACTGTTACACAATTATGGCAAAATTATTTTTAAATCGGTTTAAAAGTTCCCTTTTTATATATAAAAGTGTTTTCATTTCGCGTAATAAATACTGTCAAGTGACATTCTACTGTGATGGATCAGGAAGTCGTTAAAGTACAACCGTTTGTACCCAAGCTAACCTCTTCTTGACCTATCGATTTATTAGGATTTTCCCAGTAGATGCCTGCAGTGAACATTATTTCTCCTTGCCTTCAATTGTGATTTTGTTAGTTTGCATGTTTTTTATACCCACACTTCGGTTATTTACCCAATGCTTTGGTATACGTCATTTTATTTAATATTAGATAAAATCAAAAGCATCCCTCCGTTCCCCGTAATCAATGTGTTAACGTAGTCAATGTTAAACTTTCATCCATTAAAGAGTTTTTTTTTGTACCGTCAATATTTTTATATCGCATTTTTTATGGGTTTTTAATAAATATTATTTATATATTAATTATTTATGGTGTACAATATGGCGCACAATAGAAAATTTCAATACGTACGTTGTGAGTATCCTCTATTCAATGTAAATCGTAGTGTACACAATAATGTAATTATACGACGGGAAGTTTTAAATAAAAAAATAAAATTATACGCTTATGGAAATAAAAACATTTTATCGTACTTTATATTTTACCAAACCTCATGAACCGTATATTGCCCCTACCAACCGTTAAAATCTACTAGAATTTTATACACGAATATAAATGTACCGTATTGAAATTTTATTTTTCTGCATTTTATAAACGCTCTATGTTTAACGGTCAACGTAATTTAAACTTCTAAGATCCGTAAACGTCCGCAAAGATCTACCTGATCGTTTAATACTTTAATAATATGAGACTTACCTCGCAGCCGTAGAGCATTACTAGGGCATTGCCAATACCGATAATTTAGATAAAGGAGCGACGTTCTTTCTCTGTATCTCAACCAATATGTGATTCGAGAAGGCTTCAAAAAATGGTCCTCTTGAAAATACGATCGATCGAGTGACAATTTTTGAAATATGTTTAAGGCCTTGTTACCGTCATAATATCTGTTTCAACTACATAATTTACTTATCATGCAAACTATGCGCGTGTATTGTAATTATTCAACAGTCGATTCCTTTATGAAAAAAAAAAAAAAATCGATTCCAATCGATATAGACGATATGCGAATGTGCTTTATACACAATCATCATCTGAACGTATCAAATCACCGGAATAATATATACGTTATATATATATATGTATAGAGGAATAAACATGAATCAAATCGTTCACTATTTTTGCGACTCATTTGTACTTGTCGCGTGTTCATATTTAAATATACGAAGTACATGCATATGATACGCGTATAATAATATTACACGAATATTGTTCTGTAAGTTTTTCCGCGATTGTATTGTTTCCGATTGAATTGAAATATTTACTATTATTTGTGCACTTGAAAAATATACTCGCAAATTATAATGTACGTGTTAGTTTTGTACCCAAAATCACGGAAACGTGAGCAGAGTACGCATTTTTATACACGTTGACCTGGTTCGTTATACAAACTACGATTTTCTCACTAAGTTCTAACTTTTTAAAAACCAACCTTCGAGATAATTTTTTCTTTTATTTTTTTTAATCACCCTATTCGGTTAAATTGTTTTTAAGATAAGTTGTGATTTTTTCAAAGTGTATGAATGGAATATGTGTATTTTACTAAATTTTTGTGATGTCGATTATTGATTTGACATAATACATCTTATAGAAAATATGGAATAAAGTGATTGTCATAATCTTAAAACACGGCAATGACATTGATCGGAAATTGAAAAATAAGTGTAAACGTTAACTATTGATAATATTTATAATATTTACAAGCTATATTTATTAATATTTAATAAAAATCTATTATTCAACCTAGCCGGTCAATGGAATAGGCGATGGACACTTGCCTTTTCCTATATGCTGCTAGGAAAATAGTTTTAAATTAGACACGTATAAACTTATTAGGAATAAAAAAATAAATCATATACATTTTAAAACACATAAAAATCGGTTGTATTTCCTTTCTGTTTCCTACAACAAGCATCGAAGCATAAGACGATGACTGTTTATAGAAAATGCCTGTATTTTACGCTGTAGTTGAAACGTAAAACGGTGAATATTTTTCGCACATCGATAGACATGATCAGTGTCGGATTGGCAATAGCCGCTAGACCGTGAACTCGTCTAGGGTCCTCGACCGAATTTATATCGAGGAACCTCTATTTCTAAAACTTTATAAATCATAACAACCGTTGAAATCGATATTTTTAAATTTTTTATAGTTTTAATTGTTGTGTTTTTAGTGAACTAGGAAAATAACTGTAATGTAAAAAAAAAAAAATTGTACAATTTGTATATCATTAAAAAAATATTAAGTATCATTATTATTTAGGAATTATTTTTGAACATATTCACGGTGAACGTCGTCAAATAAAAGGACACACAAAGTACAATATCGTATTATACAAATAATATAAAGTTACGAGTTGATGGTAACGGATATACTGATTAATTGTGTACAGGCGCACTTCAATTACTGGACGCGATAGGACGTTTCCTGTTATTAGTGTATCTAACGATTACTATAGTCCGAAAATGATCATACTTAGACTTGAGATCAACTTTTAAGTTACCTAAGTTATCACGATAGACTTCTGAGTTTTCGAGGTTGTCACAATAGACCAAAAAAAAAAATAAATAAATAAAATAAAATAAATAGTTTGTCACTGAGCGAAAATATATTATATACGCATGATGCATATTACACTTAAATAAAATATTTTATTTTATAAAAATTATCTTCTACCTGTTTTTCAAATCACAAAATTAGCTATAGCCCAAAATATGACCCAAACGCAACCCAAAAACGCAAAAATAAATAACCTATAAGCGCAAAAAAAATTACCTTTTTACAACCCATAAGCGCAAATTAATTTTACAAAAAGAAAGTGTATTTTATTAAAATAATATAATTATTAAGCTTTTAGTGATTATAAAATTAATTAAAAAAATTTAAATTTAAATGATATATCAGTAGTAGGTGTAATATTATAATGAGTACCTTAAATAAATATTAATATTAAATTTGAAATTTGCAAATCTTTTTTTCAGTATACATGTTCATGGTATTTTTATTGGAGTTGACTTTAGAGCTGCGTTTTGTGGTTTTTCGCCCATTTGATAGCATTTTTAAATAAACTTTGGCCTTTATAACTTCGGTTGTTTAAACACTACGATAAAATTATAGATATAATTGATCTTTCAAATGACGGTGGTATAATTCTGGACCATTAGTAGCCCTTGGCACATTTAAAGGTGTCTCAACCCAGAGGTGCGGTGGATATCTGCAGTCATTTGCAATAAAATTTGCTAAAATATAATCAGAAAATGCTGATACCTTATCATTGTCAGGAGTAATAGAAAATAGTTCATAAAATGCATTTCAGTGAAAGGTAAAAAAGCTAATCCGAAAAAATACTTTAACCAATTTTAAATTTCTGATTCATTTTTGTCATATTCAGTTTTAAGTCCCAATTTTCTAATTTGTCTGTACCAAGCTTGTGCTAGGTGAAACCGGTGACATTTAATTTGTGCATATGGAAAAATACACAAAATTATAAGCGTTTATGATCATTATGAGCCGATAATTCAAAATCCATAAGTATATTTTGAGATATACTTATATAATAATTATTATATATATAATTATATATATTAATTATGTATTAGTATATAATGTTTTTATTAAATATCACATTTTAGCATAAATATCATTTGTTTTGGATTGCAACATACAATACACCACTTAAACGTACATTTATTTATATAGAACATGAACTGTATACAAAATTACTCTTGGTTGTGAAATTACAATTTTTGATTCTTCATCTACATGACAAAATGTTTCTTTACGATGTGTAGTAATTATTAATAATCTTAAAATGAAACTTATAGTGTAACGGGTGCAATATTTCTTTTTGCTCTTTTATTTCACTACTAAGGTACAAAAGCGCAAAATAAATTTGCGCTTTAGGTTTATCAAAAAAATAAACGATTTGCGCTTTTGGGTTTCACCGACAAAATTCTCCCGGACGAATACGATCACTATAAGCGGCGACTGCTATATGAATAAATCAAATTCAATATTTTGTTTCAACACCGGATATGCATTACAAATAATTTTAAATTAAAAGGATAATCATTGATCATACATCTTTTTTGATATTAGTTGTGATTTGAAATTGGTATTCCTGATTTTTGGTGGAAAGTCAGTGGAAATTGTTTTGGCATCTCAAGGGCTCTGTGAAAAAACAAAGTTTGAAAACGGCAGATGTATATATATATATATGTCCGGCAGGCGATGGGTTTGAATTTCCGCGGAGAATCGGACGGCATCCGCACCACCCCGGCCTAGAGCGCAATATACGGACGATCGTTGCGCCAAGGGCCGGGGATGCTGCTCGTGTAATGAAGTGTGTACCGCGGTGGCTGGCCGAGATGGACTGCTGTCATTATACGTAAGTAGACTCGAGTCGTCGCCATCGGTCGACAGTGGCGTGAAATAATGAAATGAGGTTTTAGAACGATTGCCGCGATTACAGTCTCTGTTGCTGTATATAATATATATATATATATATATACACGTACTGGAACGTATTTTGTAAACTCGGTTCGCCAACGGACGAGCCAATTACTCGAAATTAAATTTTGTCCGACGGTATGTTTGTGTGTGTGCGAGTAGGGGATGAAGAGGATAAAAATCGATTTCCGGCGTATAATATTATTTTTAACGCCGTCGCAGTCTGGCGCGCGTTTCATGTGAAAATCTTTCGTGCGTACCGTATACCTACACGTGCGTTTACAGTTTCTCGACCACTGTGCGTCGTCGTGGGGAAGTAAATCGAATAGCGCACAAAACGAACAATCGTTTTTCTACCAAAATTAATACTTGCAATAAACAAGTGGCATTACGATCAAAACTTATGCGTGTTCAAGAAATCCGTTTGAAATATAGTTTCTAATTAAAATAAAATATTTGCTGATACACACGAACATTATTGTAGAAGGTTATTTTTCGGCCGTCATAACTGTATTTCGTTACGAATAATGAAATATTTCAATGCAGTGGGATCATAATACAATGGACGAGAAACACGCGCGCGGGTGTGTGTGTATGGTATACGGTCGATTTCCGTTAACATACTAGACGGTTTCATGTACCGTATCGTGTACCGCGATTGTGTACACCGTATCTACGTTTTCTGAACACAATATTTGCTTTGCCATACAATATATGTTAGGAAGTCTCGCTCCGATATAAATCTATACTGCGGAAACGCATCTAGTGAATTCGCGCGCGCGCACGGTACAAGTACTTTGGAGGAGGAGAAATATGTACGTACGCACACGTCTATGCGTATACGAATTATCGTCGTCAAGTAAAATACGCCATATCCGCGAATATCCGGTAAAAAAATAACAATTAAAGAGTCTTTTCACCGTTTTTATTTTATTTTTTTTTTTTACATCGAATATCCTGACCCCGCGGTACGCCTTATAATCACAACTTTTGTACACATAATCCGCCCCTGAAGGATAGTCGCTCGTCGTATACATTTCATTATCGTCTCTTCATGTTCGTAATACAAGTGTGATTGTTATTATTCGCCGTACGTCGGGTAATCCATTTGCACGTAATGCAGCGGCAGAGGGAATTTTAGTCTTAAATTGTACACAATCAGCATCCGCCCACCAATATCCCGGTGGAAAAACATTTTTTTTTTTTTTTTTTTTTAATTTAACGGTATTTATTATAGTAATAATAAAAACAATTTACCTATCTTTACATCTCTCGTACGGCAGTCTGAATGGCGACAAAACCCTTTTTACGACGCCACTGATGTTTAACAAACGCAGCAAACGACGTCGTACCATTCGTACATCTATGCACACCAAGCGGCTCGTATACTAATTGCTTTGCGTTACGAACATTATATACTTGTACGTGTGTTTTGTGTTACAACGAAGTCCGTGTATTTTACCCGTAGCGTATACATCACGCGTATATATTTCGGCGATACCCGATTGAGCACGGTCATTATCTACCGACCCGATAAAAAATAAATAAATATTTTGTACAGCGCTACCAGATTTTCACTAGCACGTAATTGTGCAGATATTATAAAAAAAAAATAACTAATATAACAAGTAATTAACATATTAATTGAATAATATTTTGTTATCGATCGATAGGTACCCACGGATGTTGAAAATAAAGGGATGGATAGGAAACCAGAACTAAAAACTACGATTGCGCTAAATTGTGATTGACTGTTATTGTATGTACCTGCATTGCAAATAAAACCTAGTCAGTCTGTTATGTTGTCTCGTGTTCGTGTTCCTTTAAAAATAGTGTATATTTTGCAAACTTAATGATTTTATGATGGAAAATAATGAATTACAAATTATTTTATCCGAGAGAGACAAAGAGTCAGCAGCTTTCAATTGCAGGTTTATTGGTTGCAAAAAAAAACCCAATAAAAGATTTTAATTTATAAATATTAAGGTATAATCAAATGTGTTTTATTTTTTAATAATAATATTCTACGGTGCGGATTGGTAAAGTCGCACCTGTTTTCGTGCTCAATCGTGTTGTTTTTTCGAGGTTTTATTGCGTTCTTATATTTTTATTGTTTGATTGCATCCGTGCTCAATCGGGTTCCAACCATACGTATCCGTAATACACATAAAGCAACTTACACACATATACTTAGTGAAATAAACATGCGCGATCGATTGCGATCGTAAATTCTTGGAGTTCGCCACTCTTGGTTATGATTTAAGTAAAGGGTGTACACACCGCGTCGTTTGTATTGTTGTGTTTCAATAAATCGACGGACGCGCGGAGATAACTGTTTTGCGACGGTGAAAATAACGTCTTTCCGATGCACGACGATGCGATACTCATCCGCGTCATACCCGTCGATGGATATTCGTCTCGTTGTGGAAAAAAAAAAACGCGTATTCGTAAGGTCGGTCAAGAATTTTGAGCTGCAGCTCTGCACGCCTCTTCCATTCCAAAAATCGCTGCTCCGAACAACCTTTTAAGTTCGGGCTCCCGCATTGTCCTTTGGAGTTCATTCACGACGATTAGATTACATTGGCCGGTAGCTTCGGTACGAAAACTGATAAAATTACACGTGTGTTAAACCGAAAACCGAAACGATTGTTATGTAACGTATAGCGTTCCCCCAAACGCCAACCGCGCACAATTTAAGCGAAACTCTGGAAACGTTCCTGTCACAGTAATAAATTAACAATAATAGTACAGTTCTATTTCGTACGTTTGCGTATACACGAGGGTAAAAGCGCCCAACACACACAATATAAGTGATGTGCCGCTAACCCTCGTCGTCAACAGTTTAATAAGGGTGGCCGCAAACATCGCACCAATTCGATATTCGCGAGTAATCAAATTTTCACGTAATGTTAAATGTTAAATGTTAAAAAAAAAAAAAAAATGATTAAATGTTAAATGTTTAAAAGTTAAATGTTAAAATGATGTAACTCCAAATCACTCGTATACACGTACACATAGAATACACCACCGGAAGACAGGAACATTCGTTCGGTGTCTTAACTTTGTGCACACTTCTACACTCGTTGGTCAGCGAAAACATTGCGGGTTCAGTGTTACAATCTTCTCCATGAGTATATACACGTATAATATAATGCGTACTTCAAAATGCTTTTCATGTCCATGTACGTAGAGACCCTTCTCAGCACGGTGCACTCCAATTTCAATCTTCATTCGCTAATTAAGTGTGCCATCGAATACGTCTTTTTACGTGTTGTCCAATACGCTGTCGATGATTGCCCTTTGTACCTGTATTATCATTTATCAAATACCCAACACTTCGTGTAAATAAGCATAATCAATAATTATTTCGAATTCGCGTTTTGTAAACGCGTGTTTACAAAACCTGAATTATAGTCTTGTTAAAGTCCACTGAACTTTAATGTTATACCTAAACACAGAGCCGTCTTTAGCTATGTAGGGGTCGTTGAGCACATAGAAATTAGAGGCCCATTTAAAAACAAAAGTACGAATATTATTTTACATTATGTATTTAATTTCCAAATAATAATAAATATTTGGAATTTGAAACGATGTTTTTAGACTTAACTCTTTTTTTCAAAACCGTATCAACTGTATTATTATACAACGAAAATATAATAATAAATAAATTTGTTGCTACATGTCATTATACGTCGATAACTTGTTTGTCAAATTCATCGCTAAAGAAGTAATTGTCGGATTTATATGGTAATATTTTATATTTTGAGTTGAATATAAATATATATATATATATATTATATAATATTATTTTATATTATGTTAAAATAATTACAACTTATTACTTAAGCCATGCAGTCAAATATTTATTTGAGATAGATCGCGCCGATATTTTACAACGTTAAGGTGTAAATTATATTTTTTGAAGATTTCGTTGGTCGGTTAAAGACATAATGATTGCATTGGCTAAACATGATCACCGTTTTCCGTAGGTAAAACGATATATATACAGGCATACGATGTACAAGTTTGAGTAGGGCCAAAACTTTCTAAATTCATATCATTTAAGCTTTTTAAAACAAATCGCTTCGCATCATAACACTTTCACAATACGCTACAGACACAATGAAATAGCTTAGTTTTACGCCTTTAATCTTCAACCCTGTTTTCAGGGGCGGATCCAGAGTCGGGGAACTGTGGGTTAAGCCATTTCAAGAGGTCATTTATTAAGAATGAAACTGAATTAGAAATTAATACCTTGTAAAAAAAAAAAAAAAAATATATGAGCATAAAAGTGTATAAATATATTTATATTACATTTTAGAATTAATTATACCACCGATAATGGCAATATATATGATAATATACATGGCATTCATTTTTCAAGTAACTCCGATGGGCCAACTGTCCAAGAATCCAAATCAAAGTCTAAAAAGAGAAAACATTTTTATTGTTTTAATAAAAATTAATATAAAGTTAATAGGGTAGAACACGATTGGGTACGTTTGTCTTTTTTGACAACACGATTACGTATGTAATTGTATGCAACGTTGTCAAATTTACTGATTTCACCGTGTTATACCTAATAAATATATATATATGTATAAATATAGAATACTAATAGTTCTATAATAGTTCATAAAAAAAAAAAATTAATAATAAAATAATAAATAAAATGAGGATGACTAAATAAAAGTAATTAATAAATAACTACAACCAACAGTTTTTATTTAAATGAAATTATTGTTAATAAATTATTTGAAAATGCTTAAATTTGGATTTCTTGACATCTATAACCTACTACTTTTACTGAAACTCGGAAAATACCGTATAATATAACGGAAATAACGAAATTTCGTTATATCTAATATATTTGATAATTACATCATAAACAATAAACATAGGTAATTAATGAAATAAAACACAAAGTATTTATTAACT